AAGAGGGAGAGGGAGAGAGATAAAGGAAGGGAAAGGGAGAAAGAGAGAGAGAGAAAGAGACTAAAACAGAGAAGAGACTTCTTTTTTACGGAAAATGTACCCCGTAACAAACTCGTTAATTTCGTTTCATACCGAATTCCAACTTTCTTTATAGTGGGTTACACAGATGCACACATTGATACACATACAAACATATATGTATGCAAACATACATACATACATACATACATACATGTATACGTGCACACATACACATATACACATTCACATACATGTACATACATCACAAAAGAATTTTGTTGAAATATCTTCTGAGTAATGGGATGTTTTTCAAGTTATAGGAAAAGTATCGTATCGGTTGAAAGCAACTTTACTGCTTATGCCAAATGAGCTTACTCATATACTTCTTGTATTACAGGAAAGGTTAACTGTTTATCAATTGGATTTATTGAAAATTGTTTGTAAGTGATTGTTCTTTTAATAGGAACATTGACGAATGGTCACTTTGTTGGATATGTCATACTGTCCTAATGCAGTGGTAGTCAAAAACAAGAGAACTAGAAAGAATACTGCAATTAGGACAACACTAATGATTGGTCACTCCTCTTAGCTCGAACTAAACGAGAGCACTCAAAAGCACTTGAACATATTAACTCAGTAATAACTCAGGTTTATAACTGAACAACTTGTGTTGTGATGAAACTTTTAAACCGGTACCACTTTTCCTTGACGTATGGAATAATTTTTAAATGCTTTGTTAGGCATATATAAGGAAGACTAAGATTGAAACACAAATTCCATTTTCGAATAATTAATAGGATTATAGAATAATTTAAATTAATGAAATTTTTAGATTGACAATGTCGATGGATGTAATGATTTGTGCAACAATAATAAGAATAAAAATATTGGGAAATTTACATAAGTTACCTCAAAACGTTACATACTTTGGTTTCTTCATTCTTGTCACGAAGGAAAAGGGAAGAAAGATTCATTCTCTTTTAAAACTTATTTCTTTCATTAGCAACTTTTTCTTTTGCCATTTCGTTTGTTGTAGAAATAAGAGGAATAACTGGGAATTAAAAAAGGAATTTAAATTAATTTAGGGAAAATTCTCACTACAAATGTTCGCATACAGTGTGTTTCGTGTTATTTATGATGTGTCAAAATTCTTGTTAAAAATGACGCAATTACTGAATTAGTAGTGGTAAACTTTTTAAAATCCAGCAACATACTGCTTTATGCAAATTTTTTTTTTGAAGGTTAAAAAATTTAAGTCGATTGCATCAATTTTTTAACATGCACAAATATTTTTTTAACGAGGGCCTTCATCAGATTTGTTTTTTCTTTGAACAAAGTTAGGTTGGTAAATAGTAGAACGGACACCCTATTTTTGCAATCAGAATAGCTTTAAGCGCAAATTTTGACAAATTACTATGAATCATCCATTGAATAGGTTGAAATTGCTATCTGATGTAATTTTTAAAAAGAGAGAGTTCGGCATGGGATTGAGTTATATTAACTATTTGGGATTAAACTGAATATGAAGGATCAAATAAAGCATAGATGTAACGAGAAAAGACAAATAATATAAGTTAGTTAATGAGAAATGAAACGAATTGAAATAATGCAACAAAAGGCTGATATGATTAATGGGAGGAAGTGATGGATAAAGAAAGGGGTGTTCCAAGATGAATAAGCAATGTATACCATGAAATTTAAACCAGAAACAATGATATATGCAAATTATTGCTTGGACATTATTACTAAGAAAATATGCGACAAGCATTTTTTTCAGTATATCTCAGAGAACTTGAGCCTATCAAAAAGAAAAAAGAAAAAAAAAAGAAAGCTCTGGAAAAAATAGAAATCAATGAGAAAGGGCGAGCTGATCTGATCAGTTCCTATATTTAATACATGTGGGTCAAGGTAGTGTATAAACAGTCATTTCCCTTTTTTCAATTAAGAAATTTATAGAAGAGTTTTAGCTGGTCAAATTATTTACTGACACGTCAACAGATGGCAACATCAGTCTGAGATTGCTAAATGAAAATGTATAGACGGGGAGAATTAATCATTGATGGGATGTATTGTAAAAGGTCACAAATAGAAAATAATCGATCGTGTCCACTTCACCAAATCAAAAATTCATAACAATGTACGTTTTTTTTTTCGTCATTTTTATTTGTTCATATATTCGTAACAACTGTAACAATAATAATAAATTTCTTCTTTTTCAAAAAGTATTTGTATTTCTATATTTGTAAAAGCTTAACTCAACTTTCCAAATTTTAAATTTACATAACGATTCCCTCCCTTCCTTCATCTTCTCTAAATGTACAAGTTGATTCAATGGTGAATCATGAATTTGTATCAGATGTTCTCCCTTTTTCAACTTCATATTTCTAAACATATCAAATTACCATTTAGTTTGAAAGTTAAAAAATTGTAAAGGTCATACTGTTGATGCTGAGAAGGTCACTAAATATATTTTTTTATTGTCAGTCTATCTATGCATCTTGAAATACCAGTTTTTTTTCTTTTAAATTTGCAATTTTCTGAAGTATAATTTCTTGGCCTAAATTAAAACTTCGCACAATATATTCATCCATTCGTTTTTGAGATATTTGGATATACTTATCACAATATTACATAATCTGCAATGTTGCAAATTTAAATTTAAAATTGCACAATGTGCAAGAATGTGATAATTAACGATAACGGATGAATGAATACATTACAGGAAGTTTCAAAGAAATGAATTATTTCTTTCAAGGTCACTAGGTTCATTCTACGAACTACTACTCTAGTTCGATACTAATATAGCTGTTCAACTGCTCACATTATAATAGGATGAACCATCCAGAAATATTAATAAATTATTATCTCCCAAACAGGACTAAACTATTAGCTAAAGTGATCTTTGTTGTATTTAATATTTATCGAAATATACTAATTATTGTCATTTTATAGCATAAGAACAACTACGGAGAATAATTTTACTATTGCTGATAAGTATGAAATTGAAACTAATTCAGATAAGATCTGTGCTTAAGATTTCTATATGATAACGAAATGCTTGCCAAGTAGATTGTCTAGAGAATCAAAATCTTAAAAAAAGTCCCTTTTTAAAACTAGAATTTGTAATTAATGATAACGAAAATTGTTTCGTAATTACTGGAGGTTGCTTGGTAGTGCATATATGCGTATAATGTCATTCATTCATTGCAATTCGAAACTTTACATAAGCATTTCAGCCCTAATAAACAATGCAACAAGAATGAAAAATAAATAAAATGAAATTTTTATTGGAATAAAATTATCTGAAATTAATATTTTAAAAGTAAAAAGTAATTGAAGAATACTTTAATGGCAATAAAAAAGTGTAATAAAATTGCAGTTTAGGGTATATATTTTATAAGTATGCTATACTGTTTTCTCCTAGCAATATTCGTATTTATTATCAAAGTTATCAATAAAAGATTAGCTGAGAACCGGTAAAATATGAATAGTATTACTGCGCCATTTAACCGCGGGATAAACCCCCCGTAATTTCTCTTTTTCTTGTGCTATAACGATGGAATGAATATCGATACTAAAATTCCAATAAAATTCCAATATAGGAATTGGAAGAAAGGAATACGATGTTTTCAAGGTGAAAATGTAAAAGCCATTTTGTAAATGAGAGAGAGAGAGAGTTGGGCTAATGAAACCTGTTTGACTTGTTTGAATGTATGAGAATGAAGTGGATCATTGAATGATGAAATGGGTTGGATGATTTCCTTTGCTTTTCCTTCCAAATCAAAAAGGCTTACTATTTCATTATATAAAATTTATCCTTGATTCGTTATTAACAGAAATCATTTTTCTGTTATTGATTAGATTCGTTTCGTTGTTTGATTCATTTCACTCAGCATGTTTCTCTAACTGATTGGTTGCTTTCGTCTGCTCTTGTTATCATCAAACATTTTTGCTTGTTTGGGATAACATTTGATCAATTTTAGAACTACGATAAACTCCACGATTGATTTATTGATTTTCCTTTATCTTGACATTTTATCAGATCAATGAAATCTGAAATTAGATTTATGAAATATCTTTCCACACTTCAAACTTTAACACACTAAATGACTTTTATTTATTGAAGGCGAAGATTGTGATTGGGAAGTTTACAAGAATAAATCAGTTTTTATCAGTTAATTTTTTAGTCGTAGAATATGTAGAATTTCACTCCGATACGGCTAATTCTGTAATTCATTCGTTCTCTTATCAGTCTTCTTTCAGTTTATCTTCCTGTATGATAAATCAGTAGTTAATGAAAATTGGATAGAGAGATATTACTGCTGAGTGGCTCGAACAGTTCCAGTTACTTTCAACAAATCATATATAGCAAACACTGTTATAATCGCAGCCAATATTTATTTCCAGGTATCATTTCAATTTACTTTCAAATATGCTTTTTCTAGCTTAATTAAAAATACGGCTCAAATAGGTGAATTGAATTAAATTTCAACAAAATTATTAAATTTAGAAATTTCCGGGTGATAAGCTAAAACCTTCGATATCGATTAAATAGCTTATTATTTTATTGTATTGAATAACTTGTTAATCACTAATTGTTAATTTGAGTAAACTTATTCAGGAAACGGCTCATGAAATTCTTAGAAATATTGAATCAGGATTACAAATTCGTATGAGATTAAACAGATGACAACTTTTTAGCAGCATCACACAAATGTTTTTTGCAAAAATGCGCAATACTTTCCCTTTTCTTTTTTGTTTTTCTTAATTCCCAAAGATGCTTCCACCTTGAATGTTAACTGACGACTCAACTTACATTAATTATGCTTTCCTCATTCTTGGACTATCCGCTGATAAGAACTCAACGTTTATTTTCCATAATTTCGATTCAGATCATTCGAAATTATGGAAAATAAACGTTGAGTATATGAAGCGTATATGATGAATCCGCTGTGCAGAAATGGTTTTCAAAAGTATTAATGGTAGAGCCGTGGGAAATAGTTGTTGCATATCGCTGCAATCTTAGGTACACTGTCAAAATTCGGGCAGTCGATGGCTCGGCAATGGAAAGTACAGTAATGGAGTCGATGTTTGTTTTTTTTTGTTTGAGTTGCGAGTATGTTTGCTATGCTATCTTTGAGCATCGAAATCTGTTTATTGATTTAAATTTCATGATTGTCAGTACTCAGTTCTATTCCAGATAAAACATTGAACATTGGATCACAGTATTTGAATCATTATCATTTCATTCCTTTGCTAACAAGAATTCGAAGTGTAATTTTAGTGCCTCTCATTGCTATATGAAACACTAGATCTTAGTTATTTTTTGTAGTTTTGGATCACTAGAGTTTAGTTTTAGTCTTTGCAAAAAAAAAAAACATTTTGTATGTATTGTAGTTTCTATCTCCCTTCTTTTTTTTGCTTTTTTTGTTGCTTTTTTTTTATTTATTTGTTGCTTTTTCCGTTTGTTTCTTGGATGGAAGATTTTATGTCTTGGAAATTCTTTTTTTTACTTGGATACAGTAAACTAAAACTAGTTGAAATAATGTTGCTGTGCAAATGTTCCGAAATTTATTGCGGTTGTGGATTGTTTTGCACCTTTTCTTTGCAATGATGTTCAAAGCTTCATTAGCGCAGTAGAAATAAGTCTGAAAACGAACTTAAGATATAAGAACCAGTTAAAAGGGAAACGAAATGGCTGCTCGTGGTCATTTTTGGGTGAAAAATGTGAAAAAAAAAATGTTATGTCATTAATACGAATATCTCCATATCTAATTACAACTGTTTTTTATTTCATGGGATATATCAATTATATATTTGCCCTTCAAATTAGTTGTCAAATTGTCATGATGTTCTAATTCCAGAATTTTCATTTCGATTTGTAAGATTAAAATTTTCCTATGATATTGGTACATCACTGAGAGTTCCTAATCAAGAGATTTCTTCTCTGCCATTTTTCTGTTTACATGGTTTTTATTTTAATTTTTTTGTTCGAGTTTCGTTTGAATTATTTTATTCTAATTTCCTAATGGAAATTCTATTCTTGTTTTAGTAATCTTCCTTTTATATAATTGCGCTGAGGAGAACTTAAAAGTGAAATGGATGAAATTTAAAAATTTCTGCTAATTTCAGCTAGTGGTTGGCTCTTCGCTTCAAACAGAAAAGGGGAACTCAGCAGTAGCAGTATATATGTGTATGTCTGTTTGTGTGTACATGCGTGTGATAATATTTCCGGATTTATCATGGCTTCCGATTACTGAAAACAAACTAGAAGTGAAGACAAGGGAGCAACGCATTTATCCCCTTTTTTAAAGCGATGGAATCAGTTGAAGCGGAAAATAAGCAGAATGTATGATCAGCAAATTGGCGGATACTTAACAGTACTTATTGTTGCTGGAACTGCGACTCTACCGGCTGCTCCTGCTACTTTCTATTTTTAAATGACATATTGCTACTGCTGTTGTTGCAATTATTTGCTAAGTAAAGTTTCAGATATTTGCTTTGCTAACAAATTCCAATTCCCTTCCTTCTTTATTCATTTTGCGACAGGTGTGTGCATCATTCGTCAAGGATTGCAATTTTGCTATCGTCAAAGTTGAAAAGGTATCTAAGTTTTTTTTTATTTTGATATCGCACTTCTCTCACTTTTTAGGTTATTGACTTTACTGCACTTTGGAAATAATGTGCAATGAAATAATATGCAGTTGGTTACTATATTTTATTCGTTTCAATTTGCTTTAGAAGTGTTATTTGAATCATTTAAACAACCTGAAACGTTCTAAAAACTTCGAAAGATCGATTTTTAAAAAAATATTTGTGCTGATGAAATTATAAAATAACGTCATAACTATTAGTAAATGTTACTTTTACGAATTTGTCGGTCGTACTATATATTATGAGGAACTATAAATGAATCTTGAGAGTAAGTTAACAGTGCATTAAAAAAAGCGTAGCATAATACATATTAACAATATTTAGTGAAGCAAATGGGAGGATTTCTAAAAGTGTAAATAGAAGCAACTATAAAAGTTCAAAGCTTGAGCTGAAAGTAATTGAGGGGATAGATTAGGAGAATGAGAATAGCCGAATTATTTGAGAAACGAGTAAATTTTAAAGTGAAAATTTTATACCATAAGAAATTAAAATTAGTATCTTTATATGCGTATAATTTGGAAGTATTACCTAGAGATTTCAGAAAGTTAAAGTTCGAGTGATATTCTAATCTTGAGGTGATTCAAAGCAGTTCAGAACAGCAGTTGTACTAGCTGAGTTGGTTTTGAAATACCAGAAGAAATAGCAATGACAACGGAACAGTAATCACAAACCCTAAATAGATTGCCTAATTTTGCAGCACTTATTTGGTGGCGGATGATTAATTAATACTTTGACTAATATGCCAAGAATAAATGTCGCACACACGCCTTGAAATTTTGCTTACCTTCCAGTAATTTAGATCATTTTTCAAAAAATCCCTGGTATAGTCATGTGCTGCGAGAGAATTAATGCAACTTTTTGAGCCACAAGTATGGTTGAATTGGGAGAGAACTTCATTTTGAGGTGGAAGTGAATCAGATTTGTACAAGTAGTAGATTGAAATTCATAATTGAATTTGTCAACGACTCATATACCTTAACCAAACCAAAGAATAATGATGTAATTGAATTTCTGAAATATACCGATGAATATGGAAGGGGTTTTAAAATATGAGATTTCAGGTGAAGTCGTTATTCTTAGGTTAGGTTACGACATATGAGTAATTGAGGCAAACCAATATGTTCGAAATAATCAAACATTCATATGAAATATTTAGAGGTTTGAAATAAATTTGAATGTAATGTGAAATTTATAATATGGCATATTTTTTCCTTTATTTGGTCTTCAGCATTTGTAGCTTTCAAGATGCTTTGTACTGTGGTACTTGGATTGTGCGTATCATACCTCCCTAACAAAAATTTATTTCTGTTTTCTCGAAATGAGTGGAATTTAATCGTTTATCAAGTATATATCAAGCAATTAATTAGTGAGATGATGAAGCTGGAAGAAGGGATGATAAAAGTTTGAAAACTTGTTTGTTTGACTTGTCATGTGTTTACATGGTTGAGTATTTATGTCTCTGCCTATCCATATATATACGTGCGTTCGTATTTGTTTGCTTTCACACACAAAATAAATTACTCTTTGTGAGTGTTTCTTAATTACTTCAAATATTTTTAATTTGGTAAGGATGTGATTGCATTTTTTCCGTTGCCATAGAAATTTTTACTGAAAACCTGATTAACTGATATGTTTGCACTGGATGTCGACATTGACATTTAAAAATTGTTAGAGAAAGTTCATGTTGTTAGGCTGAAACGCTTTCAAGCATGTCTACATGGTACTTGATTTCATTAACTCCATGATAAGTAGATATTTTGTAATTTCCTTTATTAATGCTTTCAGGCGCAATGTTTAATATGTGAAATAGTTTGTGAACATTGCACATTTCCAGTTTTACGTGTTTTCTCAAGAAATTTTCAATTTCTTTGATGCTTTATCAAGAAAAATATGTCGCATGGATACGTCTTATTCCCTATATTCTACTGTTAGTCTCGCAGCATATGGTGACGCCGCAGATGGGATGGATCTAGCAAACCTGCAGATATCATCTCAAAAAAAATAGGACTTTCCGAACTGAATGGAATTCAAGTTTTTGGACTAAATTTTTATTTTTTGTTTTGAATTTTAGCAATTGGGTGGTAAAACTTGCATTAATTTCTTTTAAAATTTCTTTTTTTTCCTGGTATAGCATTATTGCCCCGTTATGGCAGGATTCTGGGAAGTTAATTGAAAAATGCTTTCGAATTGCGAAGGAAAGTAGGATTTCTCTTTTTTTTTGTGTCTGATTTATCTCTTAGAGAAATTTATTTGGAAAGGAACTGTAATTATTTTTTGATTTTACAATCTCACTGATTTTCTTGTTATTCTGATTCAAAGATAATGTTGAGATATAAAAAAATTTACAAATATTCCGCTTGTTGAATTAAGTTTCGTCCAATAATTTTTAATTTTGATTTTTGAAATATCGAGAAAGTTACTGTCTTAAACAAACGTTTTAGCTAGTGAAGTTTCGATTAGGTACATAAGCTATGGAGTGATTTAATAGTCATTTGATTTATGCAGTCATTGATGCTAAACCGGCGAAATGAAGAAATATGCTATTAAAGGTAGTAACCTGAAAGTAACTGATAGATAATTATGAATGTCAGATTAAAATAAGTATGATTTCCGATTTAGTAAGTGCATATGAAATTCGCATCAGGCTTTGCTTGTTACCGGTCGTGATACAACAAAATACAGTATAAGCTTTTTTTAGTGTTTATTCGTAAGCTTATAATATTTGCATTTATCGTTAAGTAAATAAAATCATTCATTAAATGTAAATTATTGTAGAATGTTTAAAGAACGAAAGAGTGAAAATAAATTATAATAATTCAAAATTATTCAAAGTTAAACAATATAATAATTAAATAATCAATTTATCGAAATTTATTTCTTTTAGAAATAATTTTTTCATTGCAAATTTCAACGTAACAGAAAGTTAAATCAAAAATTTAACAATTTTTAGAATTACTTTTGAAATTTCACGATAGTAATAACAATAGTTTTTAACTTATTTACACATAATTTCTTGTAGAATGTGAAAAGAAAAACAACAACTAATTCGTTAAAAATTTAATTTTAATTTATCAAAAACGGGCGATAATATTTGTTTTAATAAAATTAGAAGGAAAAAAAATATTTCTTTTAAATAAAAGATATAAATGAATGGCTGCTTAAATTTTCCCAAATTTTATTGGAAAAATTTCAAAAATTTCTTTCATTCTGTTTGGTAACGTTATTTCAAAGTTATTTCGTTATGATTTCATGCTTACCGGCTGTTTTGTCTCTTCTATGTCGTAATGAGGTGACTGTTTCAGCTGAAATTTTTTGAAATTTCGAAAAATATGTTGTAAAAGTTAAGGAATTTCTGGCATAGTCCAACTGAGATTTTTTCAAAAATGATGTCAGGAAAGTAGTTTTTGAGCTGATTTTTTGTTTTTGGGAATTATAGGAAAGAGTTCCAACAAGAAATGCGATAAAATTTGACAATATAAGGAATGTTTAATTTATAATTAAAGAAGATAATCAGTAAGCAAACTTTGTGCTTCAGCAAGGGCAAATGACTAGTTGAGATCACCACAGGAAAAGCGTGAGGGAAAGGGAAAGCTGAAATAACTCTCGAAAAATTTACAGTTGTAAATTGGCAACAAATGAGGACTGCTATTTGCGTTATCTTATATTTTTCATAACGGTATCCATCTGAGTGACGGTGTACTCTGACTGAATTTATAATAGTAAGTTTCAACCTACTTTACACAACCTTCTACATGGTGTAATGCCGTCAGTTAGGTTATCAAATAAAATAACAGCAAAAAATCAGGTGATCCTCAAAACACTTTTTGTGGCACTTATATGTTGTTACAATTCTCTTATTACTTATCATTTGTTATGTTTAACAGGAAAAATGAATTATATGCAACAACCTATACATTCATCACTATAATATAACGAAAAGAAATTCTGTACGAATAGCATATACCATCATCACTAAAATAATTTAACCAGTAGAGATTTGTTTGGACAGTTTCACAAATCCGAAGGATTTGTTTCGCTGTTAGTGTGGGGCTGTGATTGTTTGATAGGTAAGACTTCTTCCATCCGCAATGAAACACTAATTTCATTCTCGTGTGAACAATTTTTAATACTGCCCTGAAATAAATAAGTGCATCCAGTATTCTTTCAGAATGTTTTGGCACTTGACGAGAATACTCGTTTTACTCGGTTGTTTGCAAGGCGTTCTAGCCATTGAGCATGATTCAATATGTACGGCGGATGATATTTGCCCGGAGCCAAGTCACACAATTATGAGACTTCGCGAGAAAAATGACAAAAAAGCTCATTCAATTGCCAAAAAGCACGGTTTGGAAATTAAAGTAAGTAATTACCGAGATTATCTAGTAGATTATCTGTTCCAATTGATTTTAATATTTGACATTTGAATTCAGAGGTTTGCTAGAAAGGAGATTCTTCCTTAAATTTTCAAACATATCCATCTATATTGGTTCCTCTCGCTGCATATTAGTCTTCAGCCATTTCAATAATATCGACATATGGAAAGGTCGCACTAATTTGCCGCAACGCGTAAAACTTAGTCCCAACATTGTCCATTGGAGGTTGAGGTCTTCACTATCAATCGTTTTAACTGACTTGGATTTATGGAGTACATACTATCAACTTAGTTTGCAGAGGAATTAAGTTTTACAATCCTAAATTCGAATGTGAAATTCGAAAATTAATGAAAAAATTCCACTCATAATTCATCCGAATTTTAGGGTAAGCCATTTCTTGACGGTACATATTATTTTGTTGTTCATTCATCAGAGAAACGTTCAAGACGGCAAAAGCGTGAAATAATTTCAAAGTTGCAAGAGCATCCTGATATTCTATTAATCGAAGAACAAAGGCCGAGGTATTCTAAGCTTACAGTTGTTTAATTTTTGGAAAAAAAAATTTAGTCTATTGTTCCGTATGACAGTGAGCAGGAGACAAGGCATAATTTTCTTCTTTTTTTTGGAAATTTAATTTCGTTTTTTTGTCGAACCACAATGATATTTCCTAAAATGTTTAGGGTAAGACGAAAACGTGATTTTTTATACTCGGATGCCGTTTCTGAACCTGATAATGGTTCCATTAATGTTGTAAGGCATGCTACGTCGATAGCTAATGCGCAACAGCGAATTAATTCCATACAACGTGATGTGCCTGTTTTACCATTTCCAGATCCGTTGTATAAGGAACAGTGGTATTTTGTGCGTTTTTTATTTTCATTTTTTATTTTTTTGTTTTAATCAAGACCACTAAATTTCTGTTGCTTTTAGAACCTGAATACGTGTGTACTTTACACGATTTTTCCATGAAAAAATCTTTTAAAGTGCTCATGTACTCACAGATTTTGAAAACATAAAAATCTTTTTTCATTTTACTTTCCTTTTCGGAATAGCTTCTGCCTTTGAGAATTTTTGAAAAGGTGATTAAGTTGTTCGTGAAATTTATTGCCTTTCTAAGCGTTGCGCATAGCTAGCTAATTTTGATAATGTTAAGTGCAAAAGTTTTTAGATATATAATTAATGTTTAGAGCACTTCCACAGAGGTTTCTTTGATCCGAAAAGATGTCAGAAGAGATCTTAATGATAGTTCTTGATGTTGCTCAGAATACGATTGAAAAGGATATCAAAGTACATTACAGAACAATGGTGCACAGGGAGGGTTTGATATGAATGTGCAGGCTGCATGGTTATTAGGTTATGCTGGTCGTAATGTATCCGTTTCGATATTGGATGATGGTATCCAGCGAGATCATCCGGATCTGGCGGCGAATTACGATCCACTGGCAAGTACGGATATTAACGGTCATGATGATGATCCAACTCCGCAAGATGATGGTGACAATAAGTGAGTATAATTATTCTAAAGAACTAAATAAATGTTTAAGTAAAAGCGAAACGCGATAAGGGTGAAATAGACTAATCATGTCAGGAAATAAACAAACAAATCAATATGGTGCAGAATCAAAATAAGATAAATTAGCCGAGTAAATGAGTAAAAAATACCCTTCTGAAGTGAAGTAAATAGTGAAGTCTTGAGATTTTGATAAAAAATCCAAACACTTGAATAATAAAATGATGCTACCATACAAAAACATAACTGTCGTATTTGTCCAGTCAAAGTGTATGTATTACTGTCACATCGACGTCAGAGCTATGACTGTACTGCCGTGTCAATAGCTATTCTAGTTAATTTACCAGTTTTTGTTAATTTACCTTTTTCGAATTATTGGTAAACCGAATCACTTAGCCTTAATAAGGACAAGGTTAACATATGTGTTGCTCTGCATCGACATTGTCTAACTATGCTATTGTTGTACCGTAATAAGTTGTTCAAATAAAGTTTGCCTAGTTTAAATTCGAGTTTAATTAAATTTAGACATTAGAAGTATGCGTAATTATTGATATAATTATTGAACTATATCCATAATTCTAATTTGCTTCACTGGATTGGTGTAACCGTTCATGTGCTGTAGAATAGTCCCGTTAATGGTTGCAGGCATGGTACACGATGTGCGGGTGAAGTTGCATCAGTTGCTGGGAATGTATACTGCGGTGTCGGTGTCGCATTTCATGCAAAAATCGGAGGTGTACGGATGCTGGATGGTCCTGTGAGCGATAGGTAAATATCGGATGGGGTTAATGGATTAGATTGCAATCAAAAATGAAATTAATATGATAAATTTGTCCAACTTAGTGTTTTTTTCTACTTATCGTTCAATAGCTATTGCCGACTGCTAGGTTATTTTTAGTTTATTTGTTATTGGATTTGTCTACAGATTGATGGGTGAATCATATTTTATTAAGCGAAATATAAGGAAAGTCAGGCCGTTTCTATAAAGTTTATTTACAAAGTAAGGGTCAAGTTTTCTAGTAAATATAAGACTTATAAAATAAGGGCAAAGTTTTTTAGGTTTTCTCTCTTACAATGTTGAATAAACAGTGGACTGAAAAGTTTTGAAAGAAGTCCTGAAGAAAAAAAGTAATAAGTTAAAAATTGTATCGAGTGGATCTTTGCAAATTTCGCTTCTGTTTGACAAGTGCGAAAGTTCACCATACCTACAATACTGGTCTTATATTTTATGAGACTACCATCCCGGGAGTTTATTTATCAAATTTCATTTCACTTTAGTGTTGAAGCGGCAAGTCTCTCTCTTAATCGTCATCACATCGATATTTATTCGGCGAGTTGGGGTCCTGAAGATGATGGAAGAACGTTTGATGGTCCTGGACCGTTAGCTCGAGAGGCGTTTTACCACGGTGTCAGGGTAGGACGTGATGGCAAAGGAAGCATTTTTGTTTGGGCCAGTGGTAATGGTGGCTCAAGGTAAAAGATTTAGATTCGAACAAAGATATTAAGCTTTAAAAATAGTGGCGAAGAAATTTAATTTTAGAAATTTCAGTGGCTGATGACACTGTAATGATAAAAGTAATAGAATTGGAATAGTCTGATTGCTAAGGAGGGATAGATTTTGTAGATTTTTATCTTGCAGGCAAGATAGCTGCTCGGCTGATGGTTACACGACATCTGTTTACACTCTTAGTGTTAGTTCGGCGACAATTGATAATCGCAGCCCATGGTACCTGGAAGAGTGTCCATCAACCATAGCTACAACATACAGCAGCGCGAACATGAATCAACCAGCTGTTGTAAGTTCCTTGTCATTGCTTTCATTTCACGACTCTCCTGCGGAGTCCGGTTCCGGCATCTCGTCAGCGTAAAAACGCACGGCGAGATATATGTGTTTATATTTTCCGGATTAGATCAGATAAGTTACATCATTAAAAACTTCACTATTTTACTGTTAATGACGTTAGTATACACTGAACATGACCGAGCATTAATTTCCTAAAGCTGTAGATGTTAAGGCTCTGTGAGGCAAATTCTTTGCAATCTTGCTTCTAGTGTTCTCAATTCTGCTAGCAATTATTTTCACCTCAAGTTAAGTTTGCAGGTAACAGTTGATGTACCACACGGTTGCACTCGTTCGCATACGGGTACTAGTGCATCTGCGCCACTTGCAGCAGGTATTATTGCATTGGCATTGGAAGCAAAGTAAGTTTTTATTAGTCGAATCTACATCTCACCAAGTAATTGCGAAAAGTGCAAGTAATGCCTTCGACACTTAACTATTGAAGCCCATCGAGAGAAGTAACAGGTCGTCAAGTAACAAATACCTCAGTTAAGTAACGAATCCCTTTGTAATTTCTGCAACTTTAACAAATATCTCAGTTAAGTAACAAATTCTTCTGTAATTCCGTTAGGGAAGTTCATTCATTTTAGGAACTACTAGGGTCTTCATTTTGAACGAAATGCACTGAAATGTCCCAAGACTACCCCGTCAATTTACTCTTTCAGTCAAAATTTAACATGGCGCGACATGCAACATATTGTATTGCGAACAGCCAATCCAGTGCCACTGCTAAATAATCCAGGCTGGGTGATAAATGGGGCCGGACGGCTATTCAACAGCAAATTTGGTTATGGGTTAATGGATGCCGGAGCATTGGTAAAGCTTGCATTGATCTGGAAAACAGTACCAGAACAACATATCTGTACATATGAATATAAGCTGGAAAAGCCAAAGTAAGTTGGGAATTCTTTTGTGATTTTGGGATTAGAATGTGCAAACAGTTTCAACAGAGGATATGAAAAGAAGGTGATACTACGGAAGATTTAGTTCATGTAGACTTAAAACATTTTAGGAAGTTGGTTAGATCGAGAGATTTTTAATTCGTCTGCAAGCTTGGAAAATTCAAGCACATTTTTGAAGATAATTGCAAATATCAGAGGAATAAGTTGCAGTAATTTGCAATAACACTGTTTGGAAAGAAACAGACTCGTTTCTCTTAAGCATGCAAGGTTTTTTCTTTCCAGTCCGAGGCCAATAACGGGTAGTTTTCAAATGAATTTTTCATTGGAAGTAGGTGGTTGTGAATCTGGTACACCAGTTCTCTACCTCGAGCATGTACAAGTTTTGGCAACATTTCGTTTTGGAAAACGAGGTGATCTGAAACTCACGCTATTTTCGCCACGTGGTACTTCCTCTGTATTACTTCCACCTCGTCCTCAGGTTTGCTTTATAGATCTCATTCACTGTTACTGAGAAGTAATTTGCTTGTTAGCAATCTTTTCGTTTATTGTATATGCTAGGTATAATTCATACTAGGTTTGAAAGAGTAGCTTTCTTTCTTTTATTATCGCGTATTAAATTTTTTGTTAGCTTTCATATATATCATTGATTTCATTTTGTAAATACTTTTTGTTGAGCTGTTGTATCGAGCTGTCATCGAGCTGTTGTTCATTAATAAACATTTGCAGGATTTCAATTCGAATGGTATCCATAAGTGGCCCTTCTTATCCGTCCAAACATGGGGTGAAGACCCTCGTGGGATGTGGACTTTGATGGTAGAATCTGTGAGCACGAATAGGAATACTGGAGGTTGTTGTTGTCGTTATCATATGTCTAGAAAAATTTCAAATTTTCTGGTGTTTTAAAATTATGTACTCAGTAAATTAGAATATCGATGCATGCAGTTGCATCTCTACATTCCACTTTAAGAATTTATTGCTTTGCTGATATGCTTCTGTATGTTGTATCTCTTATTTGATCAGCATTTTTAGGCTTAATTAACTGACTACCTTTATTATTCTACTAAATTTTTATACTCGTTTTCAATCAAATACTTTCTCACCAGGTTTTTTACATAAGTTATAACTCTGTCCCCCTAAAATATTAGATTTTCCTTCCATTTCTAATTTGCATTGTACTTCCTCAAGTTTTGCAAATTATTTCCAGGAACATTCCATGATTGGTCGCTGTTGCTGTATGGTACGGCAGATCCAGCTCAACCAAATGATCCTCGACATCCCTCAAATTTACCATCCTCTGGTTCAATTGAGTCCCCATTTGATCGAATAACTGAACATATAGCATCACAGGTGCATGGACCGGAGTCCTTTTTTTCCACTTCTTTCGTTGCATAATGGTTAAATCATTCTTTACAGCTATAGTAGTCTTTCCAAAAATAGCCTCATAACTTTTTTTCTGTGGATTAATCTCTTGGAGTTCTTTTTCCGTTTTTCTAAATTTTAGGAGGTGATGGTAGCTTTTACCAAAGAACTTAATTGCTTATGCACAGGTGCACAGCGGAGCTTGTAGCAACAATTCTATCTGCTCCTAACACGTCTTTTTGCTTATGTGAATTCCAGTTAAAATGTCCAAATAGGTTTTTAGAATGTGTGGTTTTTCCTGGAACAGAGTCAAGTTTTAACTCCATATTATTTTGCTTGGAAAATTAGAAAATCCATTATTTCTAAATCATCATGACTTTTGGACGTTTAAATTGGATGATTTAATTATTTGTTGTTAGAATCAGTGGTATGTGAAGGGACGGAAAACCACTTCTAAGTTTTCAGTATTTATATTTATTTTCAATTTGAATGTTTCAGTCAGTGCGTTTTTAAAGCTTTTTTTTACATAAAATAAGAAATTTGCTTAGCGATTGGCACAAATTAAAGTAGTCATCCAATATGAAAAGTAGTCATCAAGCATTATCACCAGTGTTGCCGTCACCGTCACCATTCACTGTGGTCAGTTCAGGAAATGAAGCAAAAGCATCGAGATTCTAGAGACTGGCAACCTGAGGAAGTGGAGAATAAGAAATCGCTTTTGGCTGATGCTCCACTAGAATTACGGGTATGAGACACTATCAACAATTTTGTGGTTGTTGTGTCATAGAGAAAAAAAAACTGATAAATTCAAGAGATTTGCATGAAGCATTATTCTACAAATTCTTTTGGTATAGTTACATTAATGCATGTAGCTTTTTGCTTAATTTTCCAGCTTTGAATTACCCTTACCATAATTGCCATAATACTCATACACGAACTCCAGTTTATTCGGACACCATTTTTTTGAGTGCTCAACATCTGAAACTCTAGTTTTACCGGCAGTTTTATTGCGCTACTTGCTTATTAATTTCTAAGGATACTCCAAGCCTCAGGTACATCTGATTAAGAATCGCATGGAATGGGATGCATGTGTTTTTATTTTAATTGTGATTTCATTTCATTATCTTCATTTTTTGCAAAAGTTAACATTTTTTGGTTGGCACACTTTTCAGTTAAATCTTGTCTCTTTCAAAAAAAATCAGTAATATTTATCCATATAGTTTAATAAATTTCGTGAATCTTAGGAGGCCGAAGGATAGTTAAGTAGAAATTGAAGCTAGTTTGCCATGTAATGCGAGTGTATTCTTCGCATTACATAGTATTTTAATCATTAATTCAACCATTATACTCTTAAATAAATCAGTATTTCGTGAAATTTGGGATCTGAATGTCGAACATACCCAAAGGTGGTAGTTTAGATGGTCATGGACATTATCCAGAAATTTGATCTTGTGCAAATTTTTTTTCACAATGAACTGTTTTTCTCATCGTATCTTGATTTTGATGATTTGCTTTACATGGAGTTGGAGAGACCGCTATTATTAGGATTTAGCAAAGAATTACTTAAGGAGAGAATTGGATAGGGATGATGGTATTGCGTTCTGTATAAGTGATTTCTGTTATGAGAGCTTAATGTTACCCCTTTCCACTGTTTGTTTCTTTAAAATAATGCAGAATCTTCCAAGCAAGAACGAGGAACTGTTTTGGGTCAAGTTTCTTTAGTCTTTCAGAAGTATTATTGAAGTAATTTAATATTGTTAAAATAATCCACTTAATGCATCACTGGTGGTCGCTTGTGATGTTATTAATTCGGTTTAATAAGATTTTCTTTCTTGGTGTATTATTGCTTCGAATCAGTAGGTTCTATAATGAACAAAATGGAATTTTATGATTTTTAAAACTTTCATTTCTTTGCTATTTTATTTCGGTGTGTTGATTATTATCACTACTACCATTTACCATCGTGTGTAATTAATTAATTAATGAATCGTTGACTGAATTAACGGTTTTTCTGCAGATCTCACTGCCGGTTCTGTTGATGACACTGCAGTTGGCCATCTTAGCGCTTGTTACATTAGCTGCAGTATTGGCTTGTCGGCGTGCAATGAATATTACTCCTACTGCTACTTCTACTACTATTACTCCTACTGCTACTTCTACTACTACTACTACTACTACACCTTCTACTATCTCTCTTGCTAGTAATATTTCAACAGCAACCATTATACCTCCTTCACCTTCATTGGATCCCATGACCCAAAATCCTTTCTAATTTAATGAATGATGCTTCCAAATTTGATGAATATTTTGAATTTCTTCAAAAAAATGTTTGTTCAAGGTAAGCGGGTAGAGAATTAAAATAAAGGGCTTCTCCACGACGAAAATATCCAGTCGTTTACTGGTCTTATTTTCTTGTCGTCGAGCTGTAAAACTTTCAAACAAATCTTTATAACTGTATTTATACTTTTCTAAGAATTTGCTAAAAGTAGTAATCAAGTGAGCTTTTTTGCTTTGGAATTTTTTTGGAAATTTGTGCCATTGAGAGGGAGGTGGCTAAAAAATATTACCATGAGTTTCGATAATACAATCAATCAGAGGAAGAGGTAAATTTTGTTATATGTTTGTAATATTGAAATTTTGATTTTTTAGGGATGTCATTGTATCCGATTTTGAGATATATATTCTGTACGTGTTCGTTGGCTTCTGGACCGATTTTTTCCTTACAAAAAAAATTTACTGACGTGTTTTACATCTATGTTTAACAAAATAATTGATCTTGGAACATTTTTTTGGGATATGTTTCTTTTGTTTTACAGTGCTTTAGTGTTTTGAGGTTAGCGATCTTTTTTGGAAATTTTTAGCCTTAGACTCTTAAAATCTACGTAAAATTTTAGTTTTTAGGTCATTTGTAATTTCTGTCTTTCCATAGTTTTTGACTTCAGTTTCAAAACTGTCTGATGTGATAATGCGGAAGAGGAAAAGAAAAAGGAAAGCAACGCTCATTTTTGGTCTTAAGCCAAGAACTTATTTTACGAGTTGCAATTTCTTATACCGGTCGAATTACCACCTTTCGGTCATATGAGGATAAATCAAAGTGTTTCTCTTTTTGCGAGAAAATTAGGGTTCTTTCAAATTTAAAGTTAAATTAATGATTAAAATAATGGAGTCACTATTACCCGTTTCATTTATTTACTGCAAAATTTCTTTCCTTGACTTTCACTTCAGTCTTTTTGAAGCCTCTTCAATCTCGTGAAGTCAATGCTGTGTCTGCTTTATTATCACTTTCCGGTTATACGTATCTTCCTGCCGATCGATCAGTCTTATCAGTCGTGACGTGGGAAAATTTTCCTTATTTCATTTACGACTTCGTATTTTGTAGTTCTTTCTCTGTCTCATATTGTGATTCCTGAATCATTGTTCACTCGTATTGAATCACTCATATTTCTCTTTGTTTGTAAATTGATTTATTTTGTTATTTGTGCGGCTTAGACATCTGCTATAATTCAGAAGACTTGTCTAATTTCTATGAGCTGCTGAACTTAATTCGAAATTTTGTCAATTGCAAGAGATGAAAGAAATGAACTTATTTGTATTTTCAATGTAGGAACGAAGCCATAAGCGGTGCAAGTCGTTCTGTAGAAATTTTATTAAGAGTCTTGGTTATCTGAATGCGCTACATGTACATCTAAATTCATTGTTTTTATTGTAAACTGTACTTAAAGTAACGAGCGCAGGACAACCATCAAAAAGAAGCCTTTGCGTAAAGACAGTTTCGGCTTACGTTAAATAAATATTGCTTATGATTTGGATAAGCTTGGATAAGCTTAATAGCTATTTGGTGCATCATCATCATTTCAGATCACTAAGCCGAGCAATAATAGATAATTTTTACATATTTTGTTAAAAAGGGTGTTTAGTTTTGTGAACTGCTTGGCTTTATATTTTCTCATGAAGCATTTTTATTCAAGAACATTGTTGTCTTTCTTCAACTCTTGATATTTGAGTTTTGCATAATTCGATGGACTTTCCAAGTGCTTGACTCATTTTGATTCGCTGTTCATTAATTTTTTAAGGGGAAGGAGAACTTTTGAATTTGTGTGGATGCAATTTCTGATGAGGGCATTAACTTTTTTCTTGTGGCAGTTAATAAGGCGATTATTTCGTCTCGGAAAAATGTACCTGAATTAGCCATTCGATGATTGCTTACAGTTCGGAAAGTACACGCGTATTAGCCCTTCTGCTGCTATTTATATTTAGTCTTTGTTATAAAACTAAGCATAAAAAGTTTGTTTCTTTCACTAAATAACTTTTGTGTGAGAAAATGAAATTTAAAGAAAATTTACCAGGTTCCTCCTGAACTTTAGAATGATTTGTCTTTGTAAGCTATTATGATACGTGTCACTTCGTTTTGCTGCCACTGTAACATAGTTTCTCCGATGAACTGAGTGTAGGATGCTTCTTATTCAGAAAAATAGGTTCGTGAAAAAAACATTTTGGTTGAGAAGCGTTGATAAATGCTGAATAATTTGAATTAAGGTAATTATTGGCATGCCCTTCCTGCTCATACTGTTCATGTTATTTCTCACTTCTATATTCTCTTTTCTCATAACTGTAACATTCCATTTCTTCTATGCCGGATATATGTCACAGTTAAGGTCATAAAAACTTCCGAAACTGTGGACTCGAGTATTTTAACTTCTTTTGGCTGGATCCTTTGTAAGGAAAAGATGTTTTCCTTACCAGTTTATATAAGGTTAACCTTTAGTCTTTAAAATTATCCAGAAAAGGAGGTGCGATCATTATGAATTGAAAATCACGAACATGAATTGACGAGTTTTTAATGACAATTTTCCTGTCCAGTTTGTAATGACGACATTTTTATTTTCCTCGTAGTCTGTGCATAATCTATAACTACACTATTCATGTAAAGCGAATCCGGATTTTGAAGCCATAATCTGTGTGTGAATCATCCCCCATATTTCGTTATCGAATAATCTTATTTAGAACTAAAACTGTGTAGACTGTGATTAATCACCTGTTTAACGTATTACGGTTACAATGAGCTGGGTACATCATTAGTGTCTGGTGGTTTCTGATATGAATTTTCTTTATACATTATAAAGTGCATTATTCAGTTACCATGGATAGAATGAAGAATTCTTGGATGAATTGGAATTGAATTCCGGATTTAAACAACCCTGTTTCCAACGGAATAAAGTGAGGAGTCCACTACAGACATTGGCTTATCGTGATGTGTATTTTAGCTATTTGATATAAATTTGTTGCGGTGTTAAGGTTTTGTGCCTTATTTAAGTGCTGAATATTTTTTTCTTGTGTAAAGAATAAAGTGATGGATTTGGAATTGTTCGTGTTATTATAATTAAAGCATCTGAAACCATTTGTTGTAAGCCTGATATACTACGAATGCATCAAAAATCCTATGCTCTAAATGAGGAATATTCAATTTTGATTGAGAACTTCAGTAAATCGGTGGGAAATCTGGTTCTTTCCATTTCTGGATTTGATGAGTTTTTCGTACTGTTTTTTTGCATACTGAAAATTAAAATTCAACGAAAATTTTTTGTCGTAATATCAGCGGTAGTTGTAGTCGTAGTATGTTGGAATAGCAATTAGTTTTGGTCCTTCCATTGTTTTTTGTTTCTCATGCACAACTTTTTTTTGGTTTTTTTTCTGGATGTAAGTGAACTTCAAACTCTGAGTTACACGTGCTTTTAGGGAAATGTTATTTTTTGTCGAAATTTGACGAATATAAGAAGTACGAAGAACCCATCATTCCTTACGAAGGAGGCCACTGTATATTCCATATACATTGGAAGTAGTATATCTTAAGTTAATCATGGACTTGTGCGTTGTCGCCTTTTGCATAAATCTCTTTCAAACATTAACTAATAAATACGGTTTAGGAAAGAGTCTTGCAAATGACGTGCGTTGTGGTACTTCAAAAAGTAGTCATATGGGAATCAATTGCTCAAGCGCCTTGATATGAGTGTGTATGAAGAGGATCGTTTAAGCCGGTTTTTATATTTCGTGGAATCCTTGGGGCAGAATATAAGTTTCGGGAATATATGGTTTTTTTTTCATATATATTAATTATTATGTCGATATGGTTGTGGGGTTTCTTTATTATGTTATAGGTTCCTTGATAGGTTCTTTTATTATGTTGATAAGGTTTAGTTAAATTTCACATATGAGTTAATGATTCGAAATCACAGTGATAGTCGGAGAAATCTGCCGTAGCTCTTTGTAATGAAAGCAAAAAATGAGAAAATGAAAAATTGAAAAATGAAAAATTCATTCCAGTGTATGTTCGAAAGCTCACTTTCTTTCTTAGATGAAATTTGCTTCTTTTAAAATATTATTAACAAGATGTTGTTAGTGTTGTTTATCCTTCTATTTTATATCATTTCGCTTCTTATCGAAATACTTTTTGTCACCTGCCATTTATTAGTATTTTGCTTGTGGAGACATAAGAGTGATAGATCTCACTGCCAGTTCTGTTGATAACACTGCAGTTGGCCATCTTAACGCTTGTTACATTAGCAGCAGTATAATATAGTAACTCATTAGTTAAGATGTATAGTGGCAAACTTCAAACTGTCTCTGCATGGTATTTTAAATGTTTCTGGTTAGTTCCAGAACATTACTTACTTCACTTACATTTGATCAAATAATGATACCACAGGGAAGACGCTTCTGCTTTTCCTCCGTTACATGCGGAGCATGCAGTTATGTCTTTATCAGGGAACGTCTTGCACTAAAATATTCGAGCAGTCTTTATATTCGGGGATAAATCTGGTTATTGAACTATTTAATGTTATTTCTTCTCCCAACATTTTTCGTTTTGTTATTTCCTTTCTTTTTTTTTTTTTTCTGAGCTTGGTTAATAACTGACAACTGCTATATAGAAACAGTATTGTTGTTGCTTGCTGTTGCTTAATTATTTCATGATATGAATTTGTCGCGCAAAGAAGGAAACCAGACATAATATGAAATTATTAAATGAAAATTGAATAAATCGTTAAGACATTCTCACAGATATTTTTTTCACTATCTTTGTTCAATTTCCTCTTTGTTCAGCAAATTCTTATTGTGTCCATTTATTGTCAGACTTTTAGAAGTGATCGGTCTAAATTTCAGATAACTCCAGCTGAAGCGTTGACTAATTTCGGTGATTTGCGTTCAGCTCCAGATTGTCACTCGGAATGTATTGGATGCACGGAATCACGATCAGCAGTTAGCTGTTTTTCTTGTAGGCATCTCACCCAATCTCTGCGTAACCGTGCAGGATTCAAGTAAGTCTTTTGTTACATATGAGTAAATATTTTCATATGGTGCACAATGATAATTGCTTTAAAGGATTAACTGGTTATCTGAGCTTTTGTCATAACACAAGTTCTAGTATTCAGTTTGAACAGTGTTGAAAGTTTGTCAATTTAACCTAGTGTGGAATTAAACTTCTAGAACTTACAATTTGGCAATATGATGAGCAATTACAGTTAAACTGCAAATAAATCAATGTAGTTCACTCTCTCTTATCAAGTCCAACCAAGAATTGTAGAAGGAAGTTGCTAAAAATTTCAAATAAACCATGGAAATATTATCGGGTTATTAATTAAGTAGAAGGGGCGATTTGAACCGCTGGTAACCTAACCAGTGGATGAATTAATTAGCCGTCTAAGTTGCAATTGACGTCGCTAGATTTTTTTTGCTTACCATTGAACAGTTGTTTTGGCAACCACTTGTGATATCATCAGCAGATAAAATTCTACAAGTCAGGCTATTTATCTAGTGTTATGCAAATTTTCATCGTTAAAGATTGCTACCACTGTTTTATTCTTAAGCTTACAAAATTTTGTTATTACAGATGTGTGTCCAGATGCGATGAAGGGTACTTCCTTGAAGGGGATAAATGTCGTGCATGCAGTCCGAATTGCAAAACATGCATCAAAGCAGAACAGTGCGAAACATGTCCTGGTGCGCAGCTCTTAATCGATGTAAATCATTATGGACATTTGGATCACGGACAGTGCATTGATGTATGCCCACCTGAGCTCGAGCCGGACTGTAGGTGTTGTGAAAAGCATTTATCAATTTATGACTGTATTTGCATAACAGTATAAAATCTCAGTATAAAATAGTATGAAATCTCAAATTTAGGAACTGTTTGCTAATGAAATGAATATTTTCTTTTTATTTATTTTCCCTTTTTATTTATTACTGAGTGAATGTGTTTTTTAAGCATGTCAGCTGAAAGCGCTTGGAACTTTTTGCTTATTTGCGCAGGAAACATGACATTTGGAAAAAATGCATGTCTAACCTCCGTTACTAGTCGAAGAAGCTACAAAACACGTTCTTTAGCAGATCAGTTAGGATGAAGGCCTAACAAGGATTTATTCTGTCTAATAAAAAGATTTACTTTACGCTTACCAAGTTTAAAAGCAAATAAATTTCTGTCATTTTTTTTAGAAACTGTTGTGGTTGGACATTATTAAATATTTGTTAGCAAATTTAGTTTTAAATTTGTATTCTTGCTTAGAATTTGCTGACAAGTTTTTGCTTTTTAAATGATTATTAGAGTGTTTTAAAGCAAGAATTTGTCCGAAAAACTGTCTAGTTCATTTCTTTATTAACTTTTAAAAAAATTATAATTTCCACATTATTTCAGCAAATAATTCATTTTTCTACAGATACAATAGCAGTGCAGGCGCGTTGTATACTGAGGAGGAATAAATGCTCCATTGGTTATTATGAGGCAGCAAGTTCTGTTTGTACGCCGTGTGATGATGCATGCAGGACATGTCATGGTCCTGGACCTTTACAGTGCGATTCGTGTTCTGCAAACTTCAATAACCGATCAGTAGGATATTGTCGACCATGCTGTAGGGCGGGCGAGGATCCAATGCTACATCACTGCGGTTAGCTTATGAATGTTCAAAAAACTTATAAAGTTCAGCCTGATTCACAACGCTCGAGTGTTAACATTTGAACCGTATCATCAATTTCATCATCAGATGGTAAACCTAAAATGTTATTGTGGTGATTCCTGAATGAAATGAATTCAGGTTACAGGTATACAGAAAGTAGAAATTGGTGTTACCGAGTTGGTGTTACCCAGCATAAAAGTTGCCGAAATAAAATCACTCCAGGGATAAAAGGACCCAAAATAAACGTTCGAAATAACTACAGTTGGCTTTCAGTCATATCCCTGAAAATTCAATTCATTCCAACATTTCTTCCAGAAATCTTTCTAGTTCTCTCCACTGACCCTCTAATCTGTAGTGTTTCTTATCATTTTGATACATTTCCTTGTCTTATTTTACTACAACTTTATATCCTTCATGAGTCATTTAATGGTTATATGGTGGAATTATGTAATTCCATGTCAGGATTGTTCTATTAATCGATTTGATCGATTAATTTATTAATCGGTTTATTAATCGATTAATCTATTGATCGATTTATTAATCGATTAATCTATTAATCGATTTTAACTTTAAAATTAGTTCTCAAGTTTCAGAGGATTGCACTTCGTTATCATTACAAGTACATCCAACGCATTCATCACTGTTTCATGCACTGCTTTTTACGGTCATTTTTATAATGTTATGTGTTGCCGTCGCTGTGTTTATTATGAAAATTGGTACTGATAATTCTTCGAGTCATACTAATCGAAACATCGAGTAAGTTACTGCACTTTATTATAATTATAAACGCATGCAATGCATTCACTCTTAACAATTTTATCAGTATTGAGATCTTTCGTCCCCTGTTTGTCATTTGCGTAAATCTAGTATCGTCGTTTATAACGTTTATAAGCTCTTTTGTGCAATATCTTCAGAATATTGCATCTTATCGGTGTACTTATTATCTTATTTGCTTACTAATTTATTTAACTTAATTCTCCTTATAGTTTTCTTTTTTCCGGAAGAGTCAGTCAGGCACCGAAAATTAAAATAAACTTTCTTCAGCAAGATTCTTAGACTCCGCAAATTTAATTCAAATTGTCGCGATCGAAATATTATTTTAATTTTTTCAGTGCTTATTTTCAATTTGTCATTTTAAAGTTTTCTGTTTTAGTTATGCACCTTTACCATCTAGAGAACAAATGATCGATTCGTTTGCGGATACAACGGATTCTGAATCTGCCGATGAAATTAATGACAAAATGGATCTGGAGACTCATGATTGCCTTAGCAAGTTTAATCGAATTATACCAAATCATTTTTCTATCACTTTTTAGAAATATAAGGAATAGTTTCGTCTTTTTATGTTCCTTTTATTTGTCTTCCTGATACTATTAATTATCTTTCCTCTCTTAACCTCTAAAATTAATGATACTATATTTCCAATAACTCATCAGTATTATTATCTACAAATCAATGTAGGATACGTAATACCATCTATAGGAAAAGTTTCAAAACTGTGGCTTTGCAAGAAAACTTTTCGGTAAGGAATTTTCAAGAGATAAGAAAATAGGAATTTTCGGTAGTTTTTTTTTTTTCGTAGAATGCATTTTATCACTCTATCACAGTGACTTCCGTTTTTCTTAGCTCGCTAAAATGGAAAACGCAACTCCAGAAATCAAGAGATTAATTTTCCAGAAATATGAAGAAAAAACTATTGGATAAGCGTCTTATGCATTTAAAGTCTCATAACGCATATCATTTTAGGTTGACAGCATACATTTTAGGATGCTGGGAAGGTGCTGTTTCTTTGCAATCCCAGTATCAATTTAATTTGAGGAGTTTCCATTTTCACTCACTGTTAAGGGTGGCATTTGAGAGACAAGCCAGTCAGTAAGATCTATTATTTAACGAATTGTTAAATTTAAAAGTTTTGAATTTTTTCCTTGTTTGAAATATCAAATCTTTTTACCCGGGCTCATTTTCTGGTGTGCAAGACCTTCTTAACAAGCAGCGTATTTTTCTGTCCATATCTTTCTTAGCTAATTTTTCAGAAACCTTAGCAAGCAATTTGTTCGCATATCAATTACTATTTATTTTGATTTATATGTTCATTTTCTTCACTTTCTTTGCAGGGATGGTTTTGGAAACTGGAAGCTCTAAGTGATGAAACTATGTTGAGATTGGAATAATACTTGCTGGTCATTTGTTATGAAATTTATTTGCTCATTGCTTATAGAAGTTTGGAAATTAGCTGTGGATTGCTTGTAATATATTCAATCGAAATTGGTGGTGGTATTCTTCGCATTATATCGCATCAAATTGAGCATCCAATCAGAGCTTTGCGTTTTTTGGCAATAACTTTGAGAAATGTGTTTCCCACGTACATGGTTATAGTTATGTCCTATATTAATTTTTTTGTTCATGGCCAATAGATGACGGTAAATTGGTGCTTCCTATTTCATAGATGATATATTTACTGGAGTATTTTGAATGGAGTATTTGTGTTGGTTGCTTTATTTTAATCTCTACATCAAGGTTTTTAAAGTTTGTAAAAGTTGAATTCCGATAGAGATTTTTAAATTTCTTGTCAGTTGAAGTTTTGAAAGTCTTCACTTTAGCATTTTTGGGAATATCGGATATAAGAGATTCTACAATGAGAATCCAACTTTGTTTTGTGTAAAAACAGAAAATTTATGTTTACAAACACAAATACCCATTACATATCGTTCTGAGACATTGCTGAGCCTCCGTTCACATTTCAGTACCTCTTGCTATACGTTCACCCATCCTTCGATATTTGCATTAACGATTAAAATTGCTCACTGGAAGATCCACGTAATATGAAGATTTTCGAGTAGGAATTGTTAAATATATCTTTCGGAATTGTGCCATCCTTTATTCTCAAACACGTGAGAAGCAAATTATTCATTTGGCTTATGTAACCTCTTTCCCTTCTTCTCTCTTTCACAATGCATTATTTATGTCTTACATTTTTACTTTTTTAAAAATTTTCAACTTTTTGCTTTCACTCCTTCTTTATTTTCATTATTTCATGGTTGTAAAGTTTAGGAGTAAACTGAATTCCCATGGCAACTTTACTTATTTCCTCACCAAATTTGTGCACTGTCTCTTCCATTATTTGTGTACCAATCAAATTGTGTGTTTAGCATTTATCTGATTTCTTCAGCAGTATTCCTTTCTTATTTAGTGATATATATATATATATATATATATATATATATATATATATATATATATATATATATATT